CCTCTGGGGACCCGTGAGCCCTCCTCAGGGCACGGGCTGGGAAACGCTTCCTCTCCCGCAGCCGTCACCTTCCCGAGACACCAACTCACAGGAACACCCACCGTTTCCCCCGCAGCTGCAGGGACACACGGAGCTGGGTTCCCCCAGGGACGGGCACTGCCCAGGCTCTGGGCTGGATTTCACCCCCTCCCCAGCCGTGCCGGGGACACCGGCAGAGCACAGCAGCTCAGTGATTAACGCTCGTGGTGGTGTCTGCGCCGCACTGACCGCGGCTCTCCTCAGCCCCACTGGCACCTGACCGTGGCAGGATGCTCAGACACCGGGCTGCCGTGGGCTGGGATTTAATTGGGCTCCCTGAGCTGCAGCTGCCACAGGGCTGTGAAAACAAACACTGCTGCACCCCCGGGAACCCAAGTCACTCACATCGGTGTCCCAGGCTGCTGGCATGGGACCCTCCCGCACCCCCAGCCCACGTACCTCCCAGGCTGCTGGCGTGGGACCCTCCCGCACCCCCAGCCCACGTACCTGTGCTGCCGGGCTCCCCGCCACCCTCGGGGCTGGGGGCAAAGTCAGCTGAGCCGTCCCCGCCGGCGGCCCCCGCCGCAGCCCCCGCTGCCTTCTGCTTGTTCTTCATGGCCTCGATGGCCTTCAGCCTCCGCGCGTGCTTGTGGCCCTTGTAGTGAGCTTCTGCCTGATTCTGGGGAGGGAGAGACAGCGACAGCCACGTTGGTGCTGCGGCCGGACAGACGGACGGACACAACGGGTGAAGGGGTCAGCCCCGGGCAGTGGCCGCTCAGACACATCTCCAGTGCAGCCACCTCCCCCGGTGACATTCCCCGCCAGGGCCACCTCGGAGGTGGCATTTTCAGGTGGATGCAGTACAAAGCTGCTCTCCTCCTCCTGCCAGTTCGCTCTGCACACAAACGTGCTGGGGCCGAGGTATCACTGCTGAGCCCTCACCCCCTTGCACGGCCGAGATAAGGACCCTGCTCTGATTAAACCCATCAAGTCACTTTTAAAAGAAGCTTCCAGGCAAAATTTATGACTTTGGAAATGTACAATGAATTGCTAGCTGTAAAAATAAAAGAAAAAGAAAAGTACATTGGTGGGGAGGACACGTCTCCCTTTGTAACCCAATGGGCGTCCGACATGCAATTTACATTCACAGGCTCCTTTCTCCCAGTGACCGCTGAATAATGAAGCGCACGTTCACGGGCTCATGCCTGCACTGAACTGATAAAAACACACACAAAGAAAATCACCCGAACATTTGTGTACTCTGCAGTCGGGGACAATGCCACATTGTCCCCAAAAACAACCACAGTTTAGCAA